GACAAAACTTTTGAAACACCCTGATAATTATGACTAGTTGCATCCTAATTTCAGTCGGGAAAAACCTCAGAGTGTATAGAAAATAATTTCACGAATATATAAAGCAAGACCACAATCATCACAGTTATAAAAAACTTGCTGATATTGCTTTTTGAAATATTTCTTCAAATGACTAACTTATTTCAATAATCCCTGTCATACAGGGATGTTTTGTTTTCAAAAAATTTACACTGTTATTTTTTTGAAATTTAATGATTTCACAGAAACATTATTAGTTAGAATTCAAGACCTAATCAAAAATCTAAACTAATTACTCTACTTCTACCTCTAAAGGTTGAGTGGAACAATTAAGGGATGAGCAGGATTATAAATAATAATAAATTAAGACGAATTCGAGAAAAAAATTACTATAAATGTGCAATTGAACATTTAGAAAACAAATACGTTGTGTTTAGAACGAAATTACCGAGTTATAAGAAAAAAAAATCAAACATTTTCAGAAACTCCAACCTCATGAATGCATTATTTTTCATTACAAGAAAGAACTGTGATTAAATTTTAGTCATATTGTAATGATGAATTTTCATCATTTTCACGGAGACGGTAGTCGCTAATACGTTTCTCTTTAGCAGGAGTTTAAATGTATTGAAAACACTTTGCCCCCACCAGAACAAAAATGTTGACTCTGTGCGTTTCGCTGACCAAGTTAGTATCATTAGGAGGTAACTTGATTTGATAAATTAAAAAAATATAAAAAAATGAAGAGCAATACTATAGAAACCAATTGAATGATAATTACATGATTAATTTATGGGAATGCATGAAACGTATTACCAACAAAAATAATATAAAACCTCTGGAAAAAAGTATATGAAATCATCCACAGGATGGAATTGTTGATATATTTGCTACACTAGCGGAAAATATAATTTCCTGACCTAACCATAAACCCATCTCAGAAACTAATAAGGCTGAAGATACAGAGACCATAATTGCTTTGGCATCTGATTCTGATACTGAATATAAGGATTTTCATCAATAACCTAACCGCCGAACAAAAAACGGAATAAAATATTCAGGAATCATCATCGATAGTATTTTGAAACGGAACAATAATATTGATATCGTAGTGAAGAAATCGAGTACATTAATCTATTGAAATTCAAATTATTAAAAACATACTAGACAAAAACATTTCTTCTTCTAACCTCCACTGCGTGGGAAGGGCCATCCAACAATTGATTGAAAACACTTGAAATTGCTCAAAAATGGATAATGAAAGTCTCCGTAATGAGGTGCAACATTTCCGAATCACGCAAACTAATCTTCCGAAGTGAAATTTTATAACGCACGAGTCTAATGAACGAATCAGTACAAATGAGTCATAAATATTTGACAAGACATGAACGAAAAAAACAGAAATGTTTTAAATGTATTGGTTTATATTTCAAACTACACCGCTGAAGGAGAACGCTTATCTTACAGCCGATGTTTGAATGTGAGAAACATTAATACATTTCGAATATTCGAATAGAATAAATGAGGAGCAGTCTATCTGCAGCCTTTTGTTTTGTTTCTTGGAAACATAATATGGCGCAGTCAGTAGGTAAGAATCTAAGTAGATTTGTAGAAAGCTACAAAAAACAATAGCAATACTCATAAATTTCAATAGATTTATAGCTATTCCAATCACTATGACTTTCGAAAACAGGCTCCAAATCATTTCCAGGATGGAAATCAATTAGTCGATCAATTGGGAGAACAAATATTGTGAATTGCTCAGTTGTATTGAATCATTATTATTATAGTTAGACCACTAGGCTCATGATTATTTCGTTTATTAAATCATTTTTCTACATGTAACTATTCATTGCATTATTTTTTTTGAAATCTTTCTATGATATGTCTTTTATAATTTCCCTTATTCAAAAAGGGAAACATTTGAAATAGTCTTCACAAAAAGAATAATGTTTTTCAGGACTCGTAAATACTCTGTTTAATATCATTGCACAGTTACCCAGAGTTCGTTGAAAGCTCATTTCATATTCAGTTCATTCATAATCCATGCATTAGTACTATTCTATTTTTTATTCAAATTGTCACTCATGCATGGTTGAAGTTTCTGCTGATATTTCAATTCATGAAAAATGATCTAATTGCCCTGGATTGAAATCTTCATAACTAGGGATCTACTTACTTCTTCAAGAGTAGATAACATAAAGAAAGTGTAATGGCTCAACAGTTGCAATATTATTTTTTGATTGAAGAGAAACAACAAAAACAACGAAAAACCACGACAACACCAATAATCAAACAAAAAACTCAGGTGGTCAACCAAAGTCATGTCAACAATTTTTTGATCAATATATTCCATTAACCAGCTTCCAAAAAAAGCGATAGAAAACTTCTGGTATTGACAAGTACTTATTGGCATATGATCCAAAGACTGTATGTACGTAGATAATCTTTATAAGAATATTTTCTCTCTGTCTTCATCTTTAGAATATTGATCCGGACCTCATCAGGATGTTTATTAATGATTTTTATGTTTGTTCGTAGTAAAAATATATTTGTTTACTACCTTTGGTACTATTTGTATATATGCTACGTCAAGAATAAATTTCTATAAATAGAGATAATGAGTTAGACACTAACAAAACTTGGAAAATATCTTTGGGTAATCAGCAGAGCGGAAGTGTATTCTTATAACACAAGTTATTCCAATATTTTGATAAAATTTATTATCATCTTCAAGGAAAAGCTACAAAATTTGTATTATGGTGGTACAATATAAAAATCATTATGAAAAGTCGACACGGCGGATGGCCGTGTCGAAGAGAATGTTACATTTAAACAATTGAAACATGTCAGTACAACAGAACAAGTCAAACTGAATCACATGACAACTGTCATTGTCAATTGTTTTTTGTCTCTCTCTTTATTGTTCAACCACATGGCTTTTACCGGTAATCCATAATTTTAAAACAAATAACGATTTTTAGTAAATGGTGGATTTATGGTGTCTGTATATTCACTGTTTATCAGCGCCAAAATTCAAAGTTTTTGTGAAGTAATAAAAAAACTGTTTATTTCTTGGGGGAAAATAAGGTTTTTTTTTAGTGCTTGGTTTTCAATTTTTTATGAAAGTCCTTAGAATCAAAACTGAATGGATTATGACAAGTTTCGTTGGTGCCTATATTTTTTGCATCAAAAAACATGAAAATCACCTCGTAATAACCCCCTCCCCCAATTGAAAATAATCATTAACTCTTCATAGACTCTAGAAATTTAACTCAAATTATCAGTTTTAGAGAAAACGCAAAACATGAAAATCACCTCGTGATCACCTCCTCCCAAAATTGAAAATAATCATTAACTCTTTTTTTTTAGAATATGGTCTAGAGAAGTTCAACTCAAACTATTAGTTTTTGAGTTATTTTGAAGAAAACGCAATTTTTTGTAAAACGCCCTTTTTACTTCAAGATCAGTTTTTTCAAAACTCAGCATTTCAAACCAGTCAAAGTTATGGAACATATTACAAGTTCATACATCAAGCGAATTGAAGTATAGGGTATTTCATTCCTATACTCAAATTTAAGTAAAATGAAGTGAGTGTGAAATATCAATTTTTAAAATTTTGAAGGCATTATGTGTGGAATATAACATCGTAAAAATGTCCGCCACGACTTCTCTGGGTGGAGAGCATCCGAAACGTCCAATTTTCCATGACTCTGACGCATAAATCAGTCTGAATTTGACCGACTCATGAAAACCGCACAAGGAAAGGTCTAACGGGGTCAAATCGGACGTGAGATGACCATGCCCTCAAATCGTTCCTGCAGAATACCAATGTGGCATCTGATATGTGACATGTAGCGCTGTTCTGTTAAAATCACATGTCATTGGTGTCCAGATCATCCGATTCGTGCCAAAAGAAGTTGGTAATCATCGACCTATAGTATTCGCCGTTGACAGTGGTGACCTGAACAACGTCGTTCTCAAAGACATATGGACCGATGACGCCGCCAATCCTAAGTCCATACTAAACAGTGACATTTTCGGGATGCTTCGGACGCTCTTAGATCTCTTGTGGATTGGAATTTTGTTTGTTCACGTACCCATTCATTCAGAAATGGGCTTCATCCCTGAAGATGATTTTTCGAAGAAAATTAGGGTTCAGAGCCCATTCACCGACCACACATCGTTGTCTATGGTCGTTTACCTTCAGTTCCTGGGTCAGTTGAATTTTGGTCAGGTGCAGGCCCAAATCACGACGCAAAATTCGTCAAGTTGTGGTCCGCTAGGGGCCAAGTTCTTGCCAGCGACGCGAAATTGACTGCCTCGAATTGTCCTGCACACTCTCGCAGGCAACGAAGATGTTCTCGGTAGGGCGATTATGGCTACTTACTTTTTGAGTTATTCACAAAAAAGATGAGTTTAATGGTTGAAATATCGATACTTTGATTTGAGAAGTGAGGTGTTGACACAAAAACAATTCATTGTTCATATGAAACAGTATTTGTTTCGAATTTTCATCGGGCAGTTCTATTCAATTATGTTTCTTTTATGTAATTCAAATTTTATATGAAAATAACTGTGTCGAGACAGCTTTTTCTTTCAGTATGGGTCAGAAAGTCACTTCTTCGCATGATTTACACATTTTTATATATAGTTACTTTTTTTGAAAGTGATTATTTATTTCCTTTCGTTGGAAGGTTCCCACATTTTTTTGTACCAAGATGGAGAAGTAGAAAGTCAAAATTTTCCTTTCTCAAAAATTAATCTCTTCTAAAAATATTCCCATTTCGATTTAGATATCACTCAATTGTTGAAAGATATCAATCCGTCACAAATATCACGTTGAGATATTATCGCTTTGATTTACTTTCACGTCATTTGTCGCCATAGATATGACGAAAACTGATAAGACATATATGATCAAAAATAGCATCAACATAACTTTGGTTTGTGACCTGAGACGTGATTTGGATGGGACATACCAGGCGTGGGAGGAGTGCTACCTCTGGAAACATCGTTACCAGCGGCCCCTATATTAGAGCTCGAACTTGTTTTACTTGAATAAAGTTTGGTTGTTCTGGTCTGGACTTGCTGCAATCTCAGATTTTCCAATTTCACTGGAGAGGGGATGAAGCCTATGTCGCAACCTTCCTTTACCAAACGGCCGATCCACCAATTGTTGTCGTACTTTTCCTAGAAAACAAAGAAGATTCTTTTCAAAAGTAGACGTGAATTTCGATATTGACTCGACATGAAAATGGAAATGTTCCGTTATAAACATAAAAGACATAAACATAAAAGAACTTTTGTTATGAACGCAGAAATGCAGAACCATAATGCTAGAACTAGAAACTGTTTTGAAAGACCTAGATTCAATCTCAAGAAGTCTCGGTTTCTATTGATACTTAGTTTCAGAGTTTTAACAAGCTCGAAAGTACAATATAAATCATCATGACCCAAAATTGTTTCTATTCTGTGGAGGAATTTTTATGCTTGGATGCTACAACTTCAACTCTTTGATAATGCGATGCTCACAGACTGAATAATTTTGTACTTCAATGTAATGTGTTCCATATTATGTATATTCACAATGGTTTTTTAACACTGACTTGCTACAAATGTTGACTTTCACATCATGTAGTTGACCCCTTGTGAATGACTTTTTTTGGAATAAACGGCCATACAGCTGGTTCTCGAACTTATTAGGGTGAAAATTGAACAAAATTCATATTGTTTTTATTACATTTGATTTACTTTTTCAAAAAAATGGTAACCTTTGAGGGATCACTGGGGACCAAAACCATTTTTTCATCATGAAATGGAATGAAAGAGTTGATCTTCTCACATAGCTCACATCACATGTAGTACAAGTACATCTTGTGCGAAGTAGTTTGGTACTGCAATGGGTACAACGTACTTTCATCCCTTATCGAGGCATATGAGCAGCCCAAACTGTTATTTCAATTTATTGCAATAGAAACGTTTTTCGAACGTATTGCTGGTGATCGACTCATCCACACTTCTTCTTCCTGATCGAGGCATTCGGCGATCAGTTCCAATCAAACCGGTTTCTACAGTAATTTCGAATTATTTCGAAGATATCCCGAAGCAGTAGAGCTAGGACCCGCTATATATGATATGGGTATAGGAGGTTTCTTTTCAGAACTGTCCATACGGTTTTTGGGATGACTTCCAGCTGCAGTGCAATCTTTCTGGTACTATTTGCAGAATCCTCTTCTATCGCATCGAGTACAGCTTCTTCTAGTTCAGGCGTTATTACAGTTTCTGTAATATTGTTCATGCAATACGTGAGTGAAATAGTAGAACAGTCCTTTCAAATTATTCAACGAATCGTTATTTATGCATATGGATAGTGGCTAATTTTTTAGGTTATTTAAAGTTTCTACCAGGTTTCTAATCGTTGTGGAAACCTAGGTTTCATCCTTAACAGATGGAATGTTGTTGAGAAATATATCTGTATCTGTAGAATAGGGAGAGTGAGTGTAAGCCCACAGCACTTAGACTACATGTGACTCATTGTACATCCTCTCGAGGAGTTGTCTTTCTAGGTCATCGTCCATCCTGTCCTTTGCAGGAAGGTGGACAGGGAGACATTCATGTTTCATAATGGAAAATATATCGTTATTTCAAATATTACTTTTGAAATAATTTGTATTATCTAAAGACCCAAATCTTAAAAAGGGCATAGAAACAAAAAACAATCTGAGGAATTAGTATTATCATCATGGAGACTCATCATTCAGAAGATTAATTATTTTCCAGAATCCAAAATTCTAGTAAGTGTGCTTGTCACAGATATCCAGGTTCAACAAAAACCACTTAATAAAGTTAATGACAAACAACGTACATTTATCAAAATTCGCTCTCAAAAACAATCCATTATTTTCTCGAGTGCTTGGTTCGAAAGAATTCAATGACGTCTTTATAATGGAAACATTTAAACATTTTTTATACACTTAACTTTCTTATCATGGTCCTTCACAAACAAATCTTGATTTTACAATGGATACATAATTGAATTTCTTGATAATATTTAGTTCACGCAACGAAATATTCAACTTTATTGCTTTCATTTCAATGTCGTATCTACGGATCATTTTTCCAATGGACGATTCCAAAATATAAAGAGCAAATGAGTTTGTTCTTCTCCTTCTTTATCACATTCAAGAGTTGTTGTGGTTTGGGTTGATAGTGCAATTCAGACATCGTAAGAGTTTATTCGTGAAGATTAAAAAAAAACAAATTGCTAGTAACATGAAAAAACAAATTAATTACAATTCACAAAGAAGGAAGGAAACATTATCATTAAAAACTGAAGGTGAAAGATGTTTCTCTCTGAAAGCAGACAACGAAAATAAGGATGTTATCCCAGACAAATCTGATTACGATGATCTGATCTGATTACTGATAATTCAATTGAAGATGGTTGTTATAATGAAATACTATACAACACACTACCTGAGATTGTATCAAATAAGAACACTCAAGAAGTGTAAAAACCTGATAACGCCGGCTTCGGGTAGATATTTGCAGAAATGCTATAGTTCAAAAAATATACGATTTACAAAAAATACACGATTTGCCTAAAATTCATAATTCAGTTAAAACGGCATGACCAATTATAAGTTCCCCTACATATAAGATCGCCAAGCGAAATAAGCAATTCGAAATCCTATCGAATTTGCAACTAGAAATGCGAACACCTAAAGTTTGTCTTTTATATCTTACGACGTATCTTTGTTATTTCTCAGCGTCTATACAGGATGTTGATCAAGTATGTACCATAAATTTGAAAGACGATTCTTGAGGTAATTTTAAGACGAAATGTTCATATAAACATGGGTCCGCAAATCCTTCGTTCTCAAGATACAGGGTGTTAAAATAAAAATAAAAAAAAGTTATTCGTAAATATCTCAAATATCCTTTACCTAATTTTGTTGTAATTTGGCAATGGTATTTATAACATTTAGGAGCTAATTTAACTCGGACGTGATTCAATTTATTTAGTCCAGTGGCGCCTCGAGCGGGATTTGAACAAATACTTTTGACTCAAAAATGTACGCCATTGACTTTTGTGCAATTTTTATTATTTCTTTGGATTCAGCAATATCCCTATCACATGCAACGTGTGCAAGTTCTATTGACAAGAGATTTGCCTGTAAGACTAGCTTTTTCTAATTGGTTACGCGGTAAAATAAGAAGAAATCCGGGTTTCCTAAGTCGAATATTGTTTACAGATGAAGCTTGTTTTTCTCGCAATTCAATTATTAACTTCCACAATAATCACATTTGGGCCGAAAACAATCCACACGCCTTCATAGAAAATAATATTTTTAAGAACAGTTTTCTTTTAATATTTGGGTTGGAATTGTCGGTGACTCATCTCACTGGGCCTCACTTTCTTTCACCTGGACTTTTAGAAGAAATTCCAGTCATGGAAAGATTCCGTATGTGGAACATGTACGATGGTGCTCTCCACCACACTTCAGTGTAGTGGCACGGCAATTTTTGGATGAAAATTACCATAATCGCTGGATTGGGAGAGCAGGTCCACACACATGACCACCTCGCTCGCCCGAAATGAATCCCTTAGATTATTTCCTCTGGGGGGTGAAGTGAAGAGGATTTACGGAATAAAATCATTAATTCATGTGACATAATGAAAAATACGCCAGGTATTTTCAGAAGAGTGCGAAATTCAATGATGCGGCGGCTAGACGGTTGTATTGAAGCCGAAGGAGGCCATTTCCAACACTTAATTTAGTGCAATTCGTTAGTCTAGATGTTAATGTTATTTAATATCTGTTGTTATTGTTACATTATTGGTAATGAAAAATTGTAAAAATAATAATTTCCAAAAGAAACATTCAATTCCCCATATTATTCCTTGTGAGATCCAGGGATATGCAATTAGGTCGACTTTTTTTTCTTAAAAACTAAGCAAGATACGAAAAAAATTCAGGAGACAAAAAAGTTGTATTTCTAATTGCTTGATCCAAAGAAATAATGAAAATTGCACAAAAGCCAGTGGCATACATTTTTAAGTAAAAAATATTCGTTCAAATCCCGCTCGAGACGCCACTGGACGTTCGAATCACGTTCGAGCTAAATTAGCTCCTTAATGTTATACATACCATTGCCAAATTACAACAAAATTAGGTGAAGGATATTTAGGATATTTACGTATAATTTTTTTTTATTTTTATTTTAACAGCCTGTATCTTGAGAACGAAGGATTTGCGGACCCATGTTTATATGAACATTTCGTTTTAAAATAACCTAATGAATCGTCTGTTGCATTTATGGTACATACTTAATTAACACCCTGTATATAACAAAAAAGATCGAATATTTGTAGAATCTTTTGAAGTTTACTGAGCCACTTGTATGTAGAGTAGACTACAGCCAGCTAACATAAATTTGTATGGAACAGAATTGCTTTCAGTTCAACAACTGTTTCTTCAAGAAGCGTGCTACAAAATCAATGAAAATTATGGCAAAATTGCCTGAATTCGGCTTGGAAATGCTTCCGCATCCACCGTATTCTCCAGATCAGGCCCCCAGAGACTATTTCTTGTTCTCATACCTCTATAGAATGCTTGCCGAAAAGAAAATAGCACCGATGAAGAGGTAATTGTCAAAACTGAGGCTTGTTTTGGGGCTTAAGACGTACTACTAAACTAGTATGAAAAAATTGTATGACCGCTATAATCGTTGTATCGCCCTCAAAGGCAACTACGAACTTTTATACATATACACATATTGTATATATCTATACAATACAGTATGTATACATGTATACATACATGTTGTATCGTAGATTTATATGTTTCATATGTTACGGTTGACATGTATATGTGATGACAAATTTCAAAGAGTGGTTGATCTTTCTAATAATTGTTTTCGATATGAAATAATATTCAGTTCCTCACACCAAACATAATAATAGTTCAAAATCAAATTTTTGCTGCAGGAAAACATCAATTTTTAATAATGAGTTTTATTATTTGCATATGCATATGCATATGCATATATGCCCTAAAATTAGTTTGTATAACATTAGTAAATTAGTAATTTACTATTTTTACCTACCTTTATATGTAAAAAATCTCGAATTTCAAAGGAAATTGCGTAACCGTGGACTGGTGAGTCGTCGTCTAGCGAGCCATCGTATGCTACGTTGGTTCGAACAGCAAATGCTACCGGCTTTGTCTAAAAAAAAGAAATTAAACTTGAGTCAGTACTTGAGGCCGATAAAAAGTAATTTTTTGAGCAAATAAATAAAGAATCGCCCCAATAAATAGTGATCATTATTCACTAACATAAAATCTTCAAATAACATATTATTCACAAATTGTATTTTCAAAATGTACTGATCCAAATGGTGAACCGTTAGTTGTTTGTCCATAGAACTATATATGTCTTTACATATTGAAATATGTCAATTATGGTTTATAGGTTATTCTTGGCAGTTTTCGTGTAGACCTACTGTTAAATGTATTCCAATTCTGGCCGCTACTCTCAATTTTGAATCAGCCTCTCGAGTAAGTGCCGCTAAGAAGCCTAAATTCTCCCTTTCTCACCATCACTATCATACTTAGAATTGAATACGACCTTCACATGCGCTGTCTGAAACCATTCTACTCCAAAATAAGAAAATTCATGCTCTCTTCAGTGAGTTCTAATTTAACTATGAAACAATTGAGTGGAGATCCAAACTCCTACAGAGATGCATCATGATGTGGTACGTAGGTAGGCAAGTTCAAAGTGAATGGGTATATTCGACACTCCAATTCAACCCACGAGGGCTTCTTGTAGTTCACCCCTATCCAGACTCTGCCAAATGAGTCCAACTTTTTAATGAAACCGATTACAATCTCAGAGCATGTGCCCTTTGCTAGAGAAAATATGTATTCTGTGGAGCATTTCAGAAATATGTCTTCCTATAACTACCCACCAATCAGAATAAACCCAGAAACCTTTCTATATGATTGCATCTGTGAGTCAGTTATACATAGCGATACATTAGATTCAGCCATGCAGGGCTGGTTTGGGTGATTCATGGTTTCAGCATAAGCGTTTGCTTCTGCTGTTAAGAAATTTGGTATGAGGCAGTTTCATAAGATATCCCGCTTTCGGGAAGACAATGAGTCGCTTCCTGGCTGCATCAGCTAGCCTCATAGGTTTGTTGATACGATTAAGTGTTGAGGAACTGAGAAGCTCTTGCTCTTCATCCGATGTTACATGGAGGGCGTCCATCTGCGCTACAGAATCAGAGCCATATTCTTTGGGTCTCACGAGTAGCTAAGGAAAGGAGGTCTATCACGGCATAGCCTAGCGTTACCAAGACAAGGTCTTTCACAAGGGCATGCCCGGTATCTCGAAAATTCTTTCAGTGGCAATGAGTGGGTTCCAGTCATATATTTTTTCTACGTGAGTGAACATACCTCAGGATGGTGCCATCAAGTACCGCTACAAAGATGGCCACTTCGACCACGATTTGGGATGAAGAATTAATGATGTTCCCCCATTGGGAATGAACCTCACTACTTTGAGTGAGAATGAATCATAGGGTTCCTTTGAAACGTAAAATAAAGAAAAAAGGAGGAGGGGTTCAAAGGAGAGAGCAAACAAACTTTGGGATTCAATTTCTGTTCCGTCAACAGTTTTAGGTTTCGGAAAGGATCCAATTACGAGAACAAATGAAGACTGAGATCAGATTCATATATATGACTACCTACCTCTCCTGATAAATTTCGATACAAACGGCTCCAGTTTGTACGGTTCCAGAAATTTCTCAATGAGAAATTTCTCAATGATGAGTTTTTATTATGAATTGTATCTCTGTTCCAAACAACATTATTATATAATTCAGATATTCTTGCTCCCTCTGTTACAAATGAGCTCCTGTTATCACCGCTGGTATTCACTATTGAGAGTTGTTGCAGAGTAAGGAATCTGATACCCTATTCTCCTTGTTGGGGCGTGTAAGAGTATTCATGAATTTTGCTGTATGGTTCCCCCTGCAATTATTGCTCACCACGTGGATTATATCACTAATTTATCTGTTTAGTCTACTTTAGAAACAGCATAGTTTGTGAGGCTAGATATTTTCCTTCTTCTTCTTCGAGTAGTAATCGAAGCCCTTTGCAACTAAACTCTGTCTAATATTGCATGTCTCTAGAAGGTACCTACATACTTTTCGGAAATCAACTCTTAGGGTTTATCTTCTGACTGGGAGTATATGTGAGAATGATTATTCCTTTGCTCACAAGTCTATTTCCTCACTCATACCGACGTTGTTCACCATCGTTGTTAAATTAAGTAGATGGCCAAAAACTTTCTTTTCTAAATTAATCTCTCCTAAAATATACCCTTTTATTTGAACAAGATTCCTATAAGTGGGATTCAATCAAATAAGTGAATGAATGTTATTTACGTACTGTCATCGATGGTATGGGTGGATTTAACCCATTCCGTGACAAAAAGTTGTAATTATGAACGAATTGAGTGTTTTTACTCATAATGTTATCCGGATTTGCTACTGAAGAGCCGATAAGGTAAGTGTCTTACGACAAAACATCGGATGTCTAGCAGTGAGGATAACATTGTTCCATTTATGTGAAATTTTAATTTTTTCTTTGTGTCGGAATCCTGTAAATGATATCTGATTCGATCCCATTACGAATGTTTGGAATACAAACGGAATAGAGAAAAGTGCTTTTCGTATAATTCAGCGTATTTGTTTCGAACGTATTTTCTTTCGTGTAATTCTCTGTTTACATGAAAATAGCTGTTTCGAAAGGGCTTTCTCTTCCAGTATGTGCCAGAAAGTTATTTCTTCGCATGATATACACATCTGTGTATAGAGTTAATTTTTGAAATTGATTGTTTCCTTCCTTTCTTTGGAAGATTTATACATTTTTTATATCAAGGTGGAGAAGTAGGAGGCCAAAAACTTTCTTTCCTAAATTAACGACATTTTTATCAATTCTTGTTGTGCTCTTAGGCTACAGGATTTTGCCTCTATCAATATAATGAAATTGATCCATCTCTCGTTCTAACTAATATTTTTCCTGTTTTCTTCCTTTTGGGTTTTGGAAACCCAAAGTTGTGAAAACTAGATTTTGGTTGCTTGACCGTGAACTTTCTGAATTAAAAGTCTATCATTTCTCAATGATAAACATCTTGGACGTTGTTAAAACCTTAAAATTCCTCATTCAGTTCAACGTTCCGTAAAGCAATTCCATTACGAATGTTTTATGTAAAAATATTCAGAAACAGAAAGTGGTTGTTTCTATTGAACGTTTTCTTCCGGTTTGGTTTAATTGTTCAATTTCTGTCTAAAAATATCTTCTATGCAAAATCTCCACTTTTTCGCAATTTTCCGTCTTCACTTCTTGCACTTGGGCTGCGAATTATATTTCTCGTTCACACAAAAGGGTTTTTAAAAACTTTTTATTTGAACAGAGTAACAACTAATAACTATGAAATATAAGTACTGGCTATTACAAATCAATTGAACCTATTTATACATAAATTATTGCCGACTTTGCAGATATCAGCAAAATAATTGATGTCGTCTTCGGGTCATCGAACAATATCCTGCTGATGTAAGAGGTTATCGAACTGTAACTTGCGTAACCAAGAACCATGAATGACGGTCGGACCAAAAATACAAATCTATAAAACATGGAGTTCACTGATAAAACAAAGGAATACTTCACTTTATCATTTTCTATTGTCAAGGGGGCTATGAAGTGTTTTTGACCAACAAATAAAAAAATATCATAACCTTCTTTATCCTAACCACGAATTCAGAAGAAAAGAATGCGGTTGTTGATGTGATATGTGGGAACTGAAATACCTTGAGGTGACCTTGAGATTGAATGGCTACAGTGCCTCCGAGATCAGGAAAGCCATGAAAACGAAGAGCACCACGGTTCAAAAAACGAAAAAGGATCAGATGGTTGCACGCGCATATTTACTATTCATCCCTAGGGTCACGGACAGAATTGGAAAACTATTGGATAAACACGACATCGAAACAGTCTTCAAACCCACGAGGAAGATACAACAAAGCCTCAGGTCGGCTTAAAACAAAAGAGACCCATTATCAGTAGCAGGGGTCTATTGCATATCGTTCACTTGTGGAAAGGTGTATATTGGAACCACCAAACGATCCACGGGAACATGACTGAAAGAGCATAAAAGGAACTGCAGACTAGGCCAAGCGGACAAGTCAGCTGTGGCAGAACACGCGCTTAGTGGAGGAGACCACATAATTTTGTTTGAAAACACAGAACTAATTGCCCTCAACCAGGGATACTATAGCCGACTGGTACGGGAGGCAATAGAGACCCACAAACAACCGGAGAATTTCAACAGAAAAGAAGAAGTGGTGAACCTAAATCGAATATGGAACCCCATTATAAGGAATTCAAGAATAACGAACAGAATGACAACATACAGCAAGATTGTTGATGGTCCAGGTTCGAGTACAGGTACAAGTACATGTACAAGTACAGGTACCAATACAACTGATTACCTGAGAAGGCATAAATACGCTTTACAAAGTCTAAAAGTTAGTCATCGGACAGCAAGATATGATGGTTGAATCTCTGAAGAAGCTAGCCACTCGCGCCAGCGAAACGTCAGGAAGAAATTCCAAAAATCTACGGCTTTCAAATTCGAAAAACAGTGACACTGTTTTGGGTTGTGAACCTTCGGCCATCCCAAAAATAAATAAATTCAGATTAAAAGAGAATTTGCTCAAGTGTAATAAAGGAAATGTAGCTTTCCGAAACGTTAGATACTTATAGAGAAAAATCAAGTATACGAATACATTTTTTGAATATTTTTGTTGCATTTGATAGGAATATTTGTAAACTGGATAAGTGTTTAATCACAATTTTAATTTAGGAGTATATATTGGACCGTAACTTTTTAGTTTGTCCTTTGTTACACTGAACAGACTCTCTGTTGATCTACAGATTAATTCATTTTCGAATTCGATTTACATGGAGTATTGTCAAACGAAGAATGACACAGAATTCATGTATGAAATTGAAAGATATGTAACAGTTGCTTGTGAGATTTCCACTGAATAATTCACGAAACCGCAAAACGTGTTGTTATCATACAATAGCCTCTTTAGGCGTGTCAAATATGTTATCATGGATTTCAGTCAAGTGTCGGTCATCTCCATCGCATATGTATATCGTTAGACTTTTTGTTCGTTAATTATGACTAAAAAATACTCACCCGCGATTTTTCAAGTTGACTAAGTGCCTGCCTTTCCTTCTCTCGGCGTAAGGTCTCTTTCTCCTCATCAAGCGACAGGTCCGATGATGGTTGTGAATAGTTTGAATCAGCAGAGCCCTGAAAATAAGAATGTCTTTGAATTTAACAAATACAGTCCACAACAATTGAATGTTGGGTATCTGGTGAATGACGTCATGAATAGTATCCAACAAATGTTTCGTAGATTCTTGCTTTTCACAAAAGAAGAACTGGTGTAATTCAAACGAGGATTTGTCGGTTTAGAATTTTTTTGTAATTCGGTACGTTCCAATACAGTTCTAAATTTACATCTTGTTGGACTAACGTTTTTTTTTATTTCTTTTCCATAACAGATAACAACCTGGAGCAGCACAAAGATTTGACAGGGTTTAAAAATACACGTAGAAGAAGTGATAGATAGAATGATAGAATATAATTGTTTAGATTGATTTTCAAAAAAAAATATTCTTTTAGATATAGGACATTGTTTATACTATGTAGTTATTCTATAGATGAATAAAGAGTTTTTTCTGATGTAAAAAAAGTCACTACAACATTATACAAAACATTTCCTAGCCGCAACTCTCTTTATTCTTTATTGATTTGTGTGAATCAGTTGGGTAATGCCTAAATCTTTTGAAATATAACAAAACAATTCACTACATATTGTTCTTCTCTTATAGGCCTACAAGAAGTACGCGATAACATATTCTATGTATTTAAGAGACCTTACTGTATTTAGACGGATACGACATCAATTCTTATCGAGTGAATGTGTTAGTTACATTGAGCATGTCATGAACATTATGATTGCCATTTGCATACGGCAACATCAAAGCTACTGCGCGATGCGTAATGAAAAAAGGTTGCAATTGCATTGGTATTGTTTTACGTGATGAATCACTCTATAGATTAAGGTCATAATTTTGTCTTGTGTTGTCGTTAAGAAGAGAGTTACTTACCTATTTCAAAATTAAGATCTTAGGTTGTGGATATATGTTTAAGTGAATTTTATCAAAGGTCAATGTAGGCTACCCTACACTGAAGGCCAGGTCGAGCCGCTAGTATCGATATACCATACTAGTGAACCGCCCTGGCTCCGCACGGATGCAATGCTGATGCTAAACATACTACAGAATATATTTATATACAAAGTTCACAGCTTTTTTGTCAGTAAACGATACGAACATGTTTTCTGTGGAGGTTACTCCTAAAAGAGCGACATACAGGGTGTCAATTTGAAAAATTCCCACCCTTGATATTCCTTAACTTCCTTCCAGTAAATAATATGAGGAATCGAAAAAATAGGTCAATTTTATAGTTGAGGGGGACATTTTCGAAGAATATTTGTAGCTCTCGTGGTTCAATCTCCAAGAAGGGGTAGATCTTACCCTTAGAATCTTAAATGGGAAGTTCAATTATGCTTCCAATGATACCTTGACGTTTTTTTGTTGATCTATTTCCAAAAATAGCATTCTGAACTTACACATGTAATTAGAATTTGCCTGTTCTGAGATGCATTATTGTATTGACTCTTTTCAACAAAAATGATTGGAAGAAGAGTGGCACCGTCCGACCCTTGAATGACAGGAATAAATGTATTACGCGTGGGATTTTTTATTTGTTGGTTATTGTCATTTTACAAAATAAAATTTAATTTGCAAGATAGACATTTCAAACGTAAAATCTACTTGAGCTTATCTTAACTCCCCTATAACATAACGAAAAACTTCAGTAGGAATTGACTGGCATGCTGCTGTAATTCGTCTTTTGAGTTCTTCAATATCGGAAGTTTGTGTTTTATAAACAACGGAATTGAGATGCCCCCCAAAGAAAGAAATCTAAGGGTGTTGAATCCGGTGATCTCGGAGGCCATTCAACTGCTCCTCTTCTGCCAATCCATCAATCCGGAAATCTCTCGTTAAACCCCTGTCGGACGGGAAGAAAATGATGAAGTGAAGCAACGTTCTGCTGGAAAAATAACAGATCTTCCTGCAAAAGTTCACTACATTCTAGCTCGTGATAAGAGTACTGTGGGTGTCGTGTATGCTCTTCCCGAAAAATATTTGGGTTTTCGTCATTTCAATAGTGACAATTTTGTCTATTAACAGAAGAGTAGGGATGTGAGGAGTAGGGATTAGAAATCATGTCTCATCGAGACAAAACTCCATTCTTCTATCATAATCTTTCTCGTGGAGCTCTTGGAAAATCTGCATTTTATAAGGATGAAATTTATGCATTTACAATGCTTTTCTAACAGTCTCGAGTGACATTCCGGTCTGTTCTGATACTGATCGAAAGTAGCTCGTGGGCTCTGCGGCAAATGTTCCTAAAACTTCAATTTGAGCTGCTTCATTTAGTACTGTGGAGTTATTTATTTTTTTATTTATCATTGAACCAGTGTCGTGAAACTTATTCAACAAATGAAGTACATACCGCCATTCCTGCGCACTTTCCAACTTCTTCATAATTCGCAATCATTTCGTCTTGAAGAATGTAAAACATTTTCACTTTTATTAACCTATTGAAATAAACACTAAACATCCCAATAGGTACAACTGTATGCACAATACGACCACATCGTTCAAATTTGCGAACCAATTTTTCGACTGAAAACAGATACTTTTTACATCAGAAGTAGTACTGGCATACTAATAATTACTTCTGTTGGTTTAGAACGCTATTTTTCGGAAAATGCTCAACAAAAAATAATTCAGGGTACCATTGGAAGCAGAATTGAATGCCAATCAAAATTATGTGCCACTTCACCCCCTTCTCATTCAAAATTCTGAGGGTAACATCTACCTCTCTAGGGGGTTACAAATAGTATTTGAAAGTGTCCTCCTTGAAAATACAAATGACCTGTTTTTTCGATTTCTCACATTGTTTACTGGAAGGAAGATATTAAGGGTGGGAAGTTTTCGAATAGACACCCTGTATAATTGACCCGGTACGGCGGTAACCGCTATGTCCTTGTATTATGAATCTGTAATATCTTTGAAAATATTCATTCAAATAACATGCTTTAAGGAGCATATTGATCACATTATGGACAGAGCAGATAATAGTAGGGGAGCCCACGATGTAAAATGGGGATTTACTCGAGCGTCATAGAGACATATTAGGTTGCAAAGCTTAGATGATAAGAAAAAAAATGTCATATAATATATACCTTTTCATCGGTGGGGAAAGCGGCTATAGATTTTCAAATATGTGAAAAAATACTGTTGCATGGACATACTTGATCGCGTCAGATATTGATAGCATCAATGTCCTACATAAGTTAAATAATGTTCGTATGTTAATTTGATCATTTGCATGATGCGGGTGATTGTACAAAAGGGTTGAAAGTGAAAAGAAAAAAAAAATAATCGAGCACGTCAGATTTTCTAAGGGAGTGTTAAGTGCAACAAAAAAAGCTGTTATTCAATAATCTGACGATTTCGATCTGTCGCAATCTCGCGGCCATTATTATAATGTGCAAAAAATATTCGCCATTTTAAAATACTCAAGGGCGTCAGATTAAGATATATATCGTTCATCTTCATGTAAAAAAAAACTCTCATTCAATAATCTGACGATTTCGATCTGACGCAAACTCGCGGTCATTATTATAATGTGTAAAAAAAATTCGCCATTGAAATACTCAAGCGCGTCAGATTAAGATATATATCGTTCATCTTTATGTTCTAGACGTGCTGTCTCATAATCGGACGATTATCTAGAGGGATTCGCGTAATCTGACAAAAAATTATTTTTTTATTTTTTTTTAAATCATTGAACTTAATTGATTGAAAAGCGCAGGAATTAGCATGCAAATAAATAAGTGTATGTTTTTTAAGTAGAATTGTGTTTATAAGGAAATAATTTTTTAAAAAGTGCTCAAAAAAATTTAATTCTTCATAATCAATTGATTAATTAATCATCATCTACATCTTCATCACGAACGAGCCTCTGTGATCAGCTATGGTGACGTCATAGCGACAGAATTCAGAGTGGGGACGGAGTGAGAGAGTAATAGATAGAGAAAAAGTGAAAGATGAATAGAAACTCGGAAAGGGAAATATAGATATTACACAGTTGCACGCGTTAAACTTTATCGACGAATTTTTGTTATTTCGGATTGCGGAATTCGTCAGATTATTTATTTTTCGTAATCCTTGAATCATTTCCTTCAAAATAAAGAAAAATTAGCCACGCTCGAGAATGTCGAAATAACGTTATTTTTTTACAAATTTGCTGCCCTCCCCTTTCTTTACGTCACTCTCAAATTGTCAGATTACTGGAATATACACTTTTCAGCATGTAATTAACTCACCCTACCTTAATCTGACGCGCTCGAGAATTTCTGATGATCATTTTTTTACTAATCTGATCCTTTATCTTTCACGGGCGGCCTTATATATGGGGCTCGTATTAGGTGGAGGTACTTAACCGGCTACAAGGTATCACCTTGTATATTAATCTGCCGCGCTTCAGTAAATCCCGAAATCCCTGCTTGGGCTCCCCTATTATGAAGGATATATCAAGGATAATTTTATAAACGAGACATTTTCCTCCGCGGCTGGCATCTTACTTGGAATATTCAAAAAACTTTTTTTATTGCACATCTTGAACATAAAACAAACATACATACAAGATTTCAGCCTCCGAAAATATAACGGTACGGAGAAACAATGATGAAAATGTAACTTTATTTTACGAACGCGGCATTTTCCTCCGTGGCTGGCAGCCCAGTTGAAATATTTGAAAATCCTTTCTTATTGCACATCCATAACATAAATCGAACCTACATACAAAATATCAGCCTTCGAAAATACAGCGGTATGGAGAAACAGTGATGAAAAGGTAATTTTCGTATGCAAACGCTCCCTTTTACCCCCGCGGGGGAAGCCTCAGTTGGACTATTTGAAAAGCATTTCCTAGTACGCGTCTAAGGTCTGAGAAGCACCTCTATACCAAATTTTAGCTTCCTAGGACTTACCAGTACGGAGAAACAGAGATGAATGGGTGAGTGTTTCGCATTTATAAATATGTATAGATATAGATTATGTCGAGGTAACTTTGCTATACACAAAAATTTTAATTACATTGAATAG